TGCACTATACTCAGACTTATGAAATAAGCCTGCTTGGATGTGTTAAGCCAGATTTAAGTTCTTGCATGTAGCATCTAATGCTTGTTTCATGCAGCAAAATTACATAATTTTGAAAGCTGTTCATTCCTTGAGAACAAAAACTACTAAATATTATTTACATAAATTAGCCTTTACATAAATGACATTTATAAATCAATAAAATAATCAAACACCTTAGTATTTCTGGCAACAAAGTATTTAATAAAATAAAAACGTTTTTATTTTATTAAATACAGTACTTCGTTGCTGGAAATACTAAGGTGTTTGATTATTTTAAGTTTATATTCCAGTAAGTTATTTTATTTTATAAATCAATAACATAAATTAGCTTTTATGAAACAATATTAAGTTCATGGTCATATATTTGAGTTATATTGGTAGATACAATGAACACTAGATTTTAGACTTTATTCTTTTTTTTTGTTTACTCAAACAATTACCAATTTGAAGCACATTAACATTGTGAAATGACATAATTTGCACCTTACCAATGAGAGGACAATGTCCAGCTTATAGAAAATGAGAGGGGGTGGTCATTGACACACTATCAGTAAGCAGGCATTTGACTTGCTGCCAGAAAATGTCACATTAAGCCAATGACAAACTGTGGGAGGTCCTAATGTGATATGACCAATGAATGCCAAAATTTGTTAGTCAAATGAATAGTTTTGTTCACAAAAATGATTCAATTAGTGGCAGCCTTGACTGTTCTTTTGTTCTTTACAATATTATACAAAGTATTACCTTCTCTATCACTCTTTCAGTACCAATACACGCTAACTAATAAATTATTATAATATGTTTCAAAAAAAATCATTTGAATTAAAATTTATAGTTGAGGTATTATGACAAGTCAGTTATAGGCTTTAAGCTATTTAAATTGAAAATTTTTTAAAATCCAAATTTTTAAATTCAACAACACTATATTTAAACAATAAAAAGTTAATTATATAAGTTTTAACTAAAAAATAGTTTAAACAAACAATTACTTATTGTGACATCATCATCATACCAGGCTGCAATTTTTAATCACATTTTTAATTTATTTAATTTAAAATATACAGGTAGGCCTCCTACAACACGGTAGATACATTCCTTGAAAATACTGCGTTGTGGGAAATCGCATTATAGGAGACACCAACTTAATACAAAAACTGGGATTCGGTTCTAAAAAGAGAAAAACTTGGTGGTTTTTTGAATTTTTCAAACCAGCCATTGCTAGCCACGAATTTAATACTGGTTTCATCAGCTGACCAGTAGCGTAGCGTAGTGGGGGTGACAGGGGCAGCCCGCCCCAGGCAGCAAAATTTCACAATAAATAATAATAATATCTTGTAAAAATTTGAACCATTTCATTTCATATTTTTGTCGCATCTACGATTCGGACCAATTGAAATGAGCACGGAATTGTTCATTACTTATTCTGTGACGAAACTGAATTTTAGTCTTTTAAATTGAGATACCTAAATAAGGGGGCAGCGAAATTTTCCTCTGCCCCAGGCGGCTGACACCCATGCTACGCCACTGCAGCTGACGACTGTCCAATTTGTTTTAAATAATGAAATATTTTTAAGGTTTTGTGTTTAAGTGCAGTTTTATTTAAAGGCAACCGTTTCTTATTCATATCTTCTACCCATAATATTAGCACTTGTTCCATTTTTTACATTATAGGTGCTCTCAGACTAGCAACATTTTTCGCCAGAATAGATGATCCGGATGACACCAAATTTCTAATCTTTTCTCCCGATTGCTTAATCAACCGAATAGTCGACTCATTTAAATTAAAATGCCTACTAATATCAGCTATCCGCTGTTGATTTTTAATTTGATCTAAAATTTCTATCTTTGAAGAGTTATAAATTTCCTTTTTAACGACGGTCCTTTCTTTTCATTCAGCATTGTTATGGCTAATTTTTTTCAATCAGTTTTGTGGACAGTAAAAATCGCAAAAAATAACTTTTCTTCACTATGTTGTTAAAAATATACACCCAATAGAAGTTTATACTGTATTTTGGACCATTTTTGCTGTCCCCACTTATTGAAACAGTATAAATTATGGAAAACTTAGTGATATATTTGAGTGTTTACGGTAACTGATGCACATCTGTCTAGAAACCGGTCTTCCCCTGAAACTTTCAAGGGAATAAATAACACGCCAATAGCGACAAACAGCTGTTTTCAAGGACATTTAGTTCTGTATGTCGAACTGCGGTTCGTATCACATAATACGTTGCGATTTTTCTATTATGTGAAAGATAATTCGTTTTTAAATACCATAAACTGCGTTGTAAGAAAATTTCCGCATTTTTCCAACCGCGTTGGAGCGAAAACGCGTTGTAAAGGTACCGCGTTGTAGGAGGCCTACCTGTATGCTCTCCACCTCAAGTTAGTAGTGGCTTTCTCCTGTACATCATACTTTTCCTTTAACAATACAGTCATGCCAGTCATCTATTAACTGCTTTCAGGGAAAGTTTTGAATTGAAACATTTGCATGGAAATGGTTTGCATTGGAAGTTCTTATATACTTAGAGGCCTCTTGCCCTAAAGTTCTTTTTTCTAACTGAGTTCTCGAGATTGAGGAAAGACAGACAAATGGATGACAATAGAAATTTATAGGTCTACAATCTTTTTCAAATTGCAGCCCAATCAATAAGATAAAATAATTTTTATAAATTCCTAAACTCTTGCTTACTTAGAAATATCAGAGTGACCTAAATTGCTATATTGGTTACTGCTATAATTTCTTTACATCAGGTTTTTGCTTTTAAGAAATGAACCGTAATATGTTAATGTAATATCAATTTCAACTTATATTAAGTAGATATAATTATAAAACAATTTTTTCATATACAGTAATACCACAACTTACGCGGTTTTCAAATCTCGTAGATTCGTCTTTTGTTTGAGCGCCACGCAACCCTCGATTACTCACTCCCCCCACACTATTCTTCAGCTTATATGTTCGAATGTGTCGTGCAGAATCCACACATAGCTACAGTTTATTTTGTGTTATTTATTTCTGTGTTTGTTATATCTACGGAGACTCAAGAGACTCTACTATGTCATCCAAACGAAGTAGAACTAATTCTTCCGCATCAAACAAGAAAAGAAAAACTTTATCTTTGGAATGTAAAGTTAACATTGGGTACGTTAGTAAAGTCGAACGAGTTAAGCGAGAATGAAGTCATCGTTATTCCTATTTCGTTAGACTTTTCGAACGATTCATTACTAATGCATTTAACTCATTTGACTTTACAAACGTACCCATTATTAAAGACTTCGATACAAAAATGAAAATTTGTGAATTGATAAAGAAGTTTGATCTACCAGAATTGTCGGTCCGAACAATTATAAAAGGCAAAGAAAAAATTCTCAAAGCTGCGAAAAATGCTCAATCTTTAAATTCGAGCATCATTCGTAAACGTCACAGTATTATCACTGAGATGGAAACAATGTTAAAATTATGGCGTAACAATCAAGTAAATGTGAAAAATTGTAAAATAATATAGGCCTAATTTGTTATACATATGTATTATCTAAGATTTTATTAAACATTTTTTTCTAAATTATTGTTTTCTTTAGTCTCCGGCCCCAATTAAAAATTATTTGTATGTATTTATATGGGAAATTATACCCCGACTTACGCGGTTACCGCTCGGTCCCACCTATCGCGTAAGTTCGGGGTATTACTATATCATTATTATAAATAATAAAGTAATAATTATATAATTATCATTTAACAATTTTGCATCGCTGGCATTACCAACAATTTAAAGACATTCAGTAGTGTGTGAAATTAAACAATATCATTTAAAGATTCTTGAAAATATTTTCAGTCATTTTCAAAACTTTTCAAGCATAAAAAAAATGTATTAAAAAATATATATCGTATATCCAGGAAGGTCAACAGAAATTTCTTCTTAGAAGGGGTCAATAAACAAAAAAGGTTAGGCACCCTCGATATACACTGTGCCTACGGGGGCTTCCATTGCTCTAAGCCAAGTTCATAATTGCAATGCAAATAATAATAAAGAATATAACACTTCATTGCATAACCTGTACCCCCTTTCAAATGGTTTTTTATGGATTATATGCATATAATCCCCAGAAGACCATTTTAAAGGTTTAACACAAACTTTTAAACCATATATTTAATTACATGTTGACGAATTTATTTATGTGTTTGGCCCGGTAGATGCAAAACTGTATCCAGAAATATTTTCTTTTTAAAAAAATTCATTTTTACATCAAACATTTTTAAAAAATTTAAACTTTTGATGACATTTCTTAAGTTGCTCCAATTAATATTTTAATATTAATTGGAGCAACTTAAGAATAGAATTATAATTGTAAGTAAATTTTTGCTGATTCATTCAATTAGTGAAAATAAAACAGACAATTAAAAGATTTTACAGAATTAAATCATCACTTTATATAAAAAGGAAGTATTCTACTTCCTCAAGCTGTCAAAGTTACTGATTAATTTTAAAAAATGATTACAAAAATGAAGTTTAACCAATAAATATTCTCAGGAAATAAAACTGATAAGAAAATATCTACTACATTTCTCTTTTGAACACTGAATATACATTGATTTTCATGTAATTTAACGATTTTGCAATGTTTCAAAACTGTTAAATTAAGACTTTAGGCTTTTCCAATGATGTAATATGACAAATCAATACACAAAAATGTCAAATTAGTTTGGAAATTACCATCAAAAATACAGGAAATATTGCACAAGACTTTAAACGAAGGAGAACAAATTATAATAAATATTAAATTTGGTTTTCGTAATTCATAAATGATTGATTGTTTTTTATTTATTTATTTTACTTACTTAATAACGTTAACGAGTGAAGCGAGGTACTAATTAATACAACAAAGTAACCGAGGAAAAAACATTCTCTAAGTTTATTTTTATATATATTATACGTTAAATTAATACTTTATAAACTCACCTTTGCGTTTACAATCGGAACAGACGTCATTTCCATCAATTTTAAGCAATTCTAATAACTTTCTCCTACATGCCTCAGCCATCACGTCCTTATTACTTCCTTTCTTGCTACCGCCATACTTTGAATAATAAATATCGTGCCTATTTAAGCCGCCAGATGGCGAAACGTCGTTTTGTTTATCGTAAAACATTTTTTTTAATTCAAACTTGTTTTAAGATTTTTTCGAAATTTTAAACTAAATTAATAATTTTGACTTCGATTGGAGACGTAATAAACTATCTTTCCTTGAAATTTAATGTTAATCTCATTCTGACAATATCCATAGTTATCGCGATAACCAGGTGATAACGTTATCTTTTATTGATAAATCACTTTTAACAAGCTAACCGAATTTTAAAAACATTCGAACTTTTTGTGTATCTTAAACATATATGTACTATTTTTAAAAGCTAAGAAAAGATATCTACTTTATAAAATAAATTTTTTTCCAACACTGTCCTATGGGCACCGAAAGGCCGTTTTAACAAGACCGTTACGGGTTCGGTTAAGTTCGTAATGGGCGGCCGGGTGGTAAGGAACGGGGTCCAAAATATTCCGGTGGACCACCGCCAAACCCGAATTGTTGGGCCCTTTTTGCGTAAACCCAGTGTTTTTCGCCCCGTCCGGAGTCCACGGCGGCAGGCCGCACCTTAAATGCTCAGCAATTCCGTCGTCTATATAAATATAGTCAAACAAAAGTTAAATCAAATTAATTGATAAATACTGCTTTAATTGACATTGGCATAATACAAATGACATTCAAGAATTCGTGTTTAAATACGCTTACGTTAAAATTAATGACAAAAAATATATTAATTTAATATTAAAATACGCTGGGGGAGCCTGTAACCCCTAGAGGGCGCGTCCCCAGGTGGCGGATAGGGGAAGCGTAACGAGAAAAGAGCGCGAACGACGCCATATTGGGAAAACTTGTAAAACTGAAAATTTAGGCGATTCCTATTAGTGCACGTCGTTCACTCGGAAAATAATACGGCCACGTTCGGAGGATGGAACGGATATTGAAATGGACCCCGGTAGCAGAAGGAGAGGAAGGCCGCGGGCTTGGTGGATAGAAGAGATGAAGAAAGCTGTGGAACACAAAGGAGAAGAAAAGTTTTGGCACAGGAAAACGCTTAAGCATTATTAACCTGTATAATAATATTAAAATATCAATACATAATTGAAGCAAACTTGGATTTTCAACCGATATAACTGGCGGAAGCTTTGTCTCAAAGACAAAGACAATGCCAAATGTCATACCATTATAACAACGAAAAAGGACTAAATATCTACAGAATTAAGTTTTTACCGTGGCCAGCGTGTTGTCTCGATTGTACAAAGACCGTTTACGCCAACGATAAACACTGTTCTAACACAGTTGCAGAACTTCGCGTAACGACTTACGTAGCTCGGAGGAATATTTTCATGCAAAAGTTACAGAAACTAGTAGGTTCTGTATCATCCATATTCGCAACGAAGCGACTGAACAGTAAAAAGCAGGACCTTAAATAGCATTTAATTATAAACACTAACAATTGCCTTTTTCGTGCCTATTTTTGGTTCAATAGTAGACGCGAAGAAAGATCGTCTATACTGTACTGTATATCCAACGAAGGAGGTCGGACGGTGAGGACAGATTTGGTCAAACTATGCACGAAAATTTCTTACGATTCAAATGAAACTCGACTCGTATCCTTTAGAACGGCAGATTGATACTTACCGCTCGGCCATCCGGTTATACTCGAGAATGATCTAGTTAAACAAACAGAGATTGTAAAAATTAGGAAATCTTTATTTATTTATATTAAAAGATACTTAAAGATTACACCCAAATTCAAACTCGTATCTTCCAGAATATCAGGAAGATGTCGACACAAAACATTCAACACATATACGAGTTTTAACGAAAATGTTTAACTTTTTGTTTTTTTACTAAACTTTTGAAGATGTTTATTTCTACTTCAAAATTTTTTAAAAGTAGAAATATTCTAACACAAGCTCCATCGTGTTTGTGTCGAGAATATCGTATAAACCTCATATGTACGGCCGAGTTACCGAAAGGTTAAGACGTCGGCCTATCGCTCCGGGGGTCCCAGGATAGAATCCGCGCGGATCGATAAAGTAACGAATTTTCGGGACGGTACAGTATATCCGGATATATCGAGCCTCGCCCCTCGCTTCTTTGCGGGCTCGGCCGAACTGGCCACAAGCCGATTTTAAACTCTCTTAGCGCCCACCGGTCGGAAAGATGAAAAAACTTAAAAAATGAGTGGCAAATATAATATAAAATTTATTAATAATAATAGATATAAGGCGGTGGTCCTCACATCCGGAAAAAATAAACATAACTAAATGTACAATTTAAAATGTATTCGTGTAAATGCGTCGTAGCGAATCTAGCGACATTTACGGTAGAGGGTCCACCCCTACCCGCCATTACGAATGTAAAAAAGTGACTAATAAAAACGTTTTTTTAAATTTAAAACACATATATTTAAATAAAAGAAAATAAATTAATTTATAATTACTATTATGTAATTATTCTAGCGATAATATAAACAATAGAGATTTTTATTTTAAATAGTAACATATCGCACCATCTAGCGTCATAAAAAGGATATTGTGTGTTAAATGTCATTTGAAAGTTTTTGGCACGATTCCAAGTGGCGATTGAATGAGGAATATTTGTGTTTGGTCGTCGCGATTTGGGATTTAAAAAAATAATGACTTACTACAGATTTTCACTTTGGATAAAAATGGACGAGAAACGGCTGAAATTAGATTCGTGTAAACAATATTTGTAATTGTAAACAGGTAAGAATAATAATAATCCTTTCCGTATAAAATCTATAATTAAATTATTTTTAACCTGTTCAAATTTAAATGGAAATTTTTTTGCTACAAAGAAATTTCTTTTTAAAAAACTTATTTAATTTAAAATCGTATAAAAAAATTCGGTATTTTTTCCCGAAAGATGTCGCAAATTTATTCGTTTTGCCGATTAATCGGGATTTTTCAATGATGCGATAGTGATGTCGTCGTTTTTACGTTGCGCCATCTTTCGAGACGAAATGATATTAAAAGACGTTATTATTTAATTTTTGATTTTTAAATCTCTGTTTGTTTCATCGTTGCAATTCAATTTCCATTTCACATTTGATCAGTTTATATCGTGAAGAAATGTATTAAAGAGGGTGGCGAATGGCTGGATGATTTTCACCATTACCCTTTTAATTAAGACACGAATGGGATATTCGATGAAATAATAAAAATATGGATATAAGTCAAGTTTATTTAATAAATAAACTGAACGTCAAACGCGTACTCGATAAATAGCTAAATATGGGAAAATGAGTGATCTCGATAATTTGTCTTAACCGCAGGAGGAATTTCGTCAAATAAATAAAAAGATCACGATCGCTTAATAAAGAATTATAAAATAAATTCTATAATCGAATTATGACATTGGTGCATCGCTTGTATTAATAACCGGACGTCCGCTTTCGTGTCTTTTGTCCCGATTCTGGAGATTGGTCGAGATCGAGCTCGTCGACTGGTGGAGAGTCGATTCCGGGAGTCTTCCGTTCTTGTTTTACTTGTCCATATCCAAACGCCGTCTTCTATTCTTTAGTCTGTTTTTTAATTTATAATCCGAAATAAATACTGCAGGAATAGGCTCGGTTTGAATGATGCAAATGTGGTATGCGTAATTATGCGCTACGAAAAAACCAAAATCCGGCGGGAAGTACAAAAATCTACGAAAGGAAATGTTTTCGCTCGTGTCGAACGGTCGTCGTCGGGCTAGAAGACCTTCGAAGATCGAATGCGGCCGATAAAACGTGCCGACCGTTTAACGCCGGCGAAGATGTTTCCTTTTGCAGATTTTTGTATTTCCTGCTGGATTTTTATTTTTTTTTTTGTAGTGCTTAATAGCCTTTAATTTAGAAGTTTGAGTATCAAAAAATTTTTGTTAATTCTGGGCGTTTGGGAGAGTTTGCGACCCTATTTGATGTTTCATTTTGCAATTTTATCCTAAAAACTTTATAAACAGAATTGTGTCTGTTTGGTAATACGAAGTAATTGTTCTCTCCGTGAGTGTGGTATCGTGAATTTTGGGATGCTCGATATACATTTTAAAAGATGAAGAAATATAATAAGTAACAGTTGGAATAAAATATGACTACATTGAAAATGGTGACGGTCGGCGTGACTAGCATCGTTGTGATGCTGAAATTCTAGATAATCTCACAAGCTTATTCGGCATTTTGATGCCCACGGTGGAACATTTGTTTCGCTGTGGGTACCAAAAGTTTGTGGGCCTTAATAAAATTAGTTGTGGCAAAAAAGTAATCTTTTGTTACAACTAATTTTATTAAGGCCAAATGATAATAGATTAATAAAAAATTACGTACCAGAATTATTTACGGTGTGATCACGTAAAAAGATCGATAAACAAACGTTTTCGAACCCCATCTGGGCTTTTCTTCAGATATATAAAATAAGAAAAGAAGAAATCTTAAGAATTGATAGCAGGAGCATAATAATAAAAGAAAAACAGCTTATTTAGGACATTTAAGACTCAAGAATATGATGTATTAAAAATATAAAATCGTGGACTGGTCTTTCCATGGAACAGCTGATAAGAACAGCTAAGGACAGAAAATCATTTGCCAAATGGATTGCTATACTCCAAGCAGAAACAGCACTATAAGAAGAAGATATTTGAACTAATTTTATAATCTATTGTCATATTTTTAATATTTTAAATTATTTGTTTTATCATAATAAAATGATAAGAATAGAATATTTTGTTATTTTAAAATTCAAAATGTTTTCATGGTATTAGAGTGGCCTAAAATCTCTTATGCACAAAGATTGTTTTGAATTTTCTAAATTAAAAGATTGATTTGATGGTAAATTCATTGGACAATGAATTGGATGTAGATTTGATGTGGCAAAGTCTTTGCAAGTCAACACTTAACAATGTATAATATAATTAGTTGAGTCCACTTAACAGAGCATTATGTAGAGGAGCAATTCATTTAAGAGAGCAATCTTACATGTTCCCAATTTCCCTATGTTTTACATTAGCAGGACTTCTTGTAACAGAGCATCAGATAGACTGCTCTTCTAAAATTAATGCTTATCAGTGGTAATTTTTACCACTAATAGAGCATTAATTTAGAAGAGCAGTCTACATAAAGGAGCATCATTAGTAAGAATATTTATAAGAGTCTATCTTTAATTTTATGATATGTTACCACCCAGGACACATGGTGTTAGGGTTCACTATATTGTGGTATTGAGATTTGGTGAACCTTCCGTTGGTCAGTTTCCTAATAATTAGATAGTTGAAAGATTTACAGAATCAAATATAATCAAACACCAAACACTTGCTGAGCTTATTATTAATTTACTATTCAAACGTTTTCAGCCTACTTCTAATAGGCCATCCTCAAGAAATTGCTGTTCTGCTATCGAATACAAAGCTTTCGAACAATTTTTAAATTTAAAATTTTAACATATTTTTAAAATTCTTTACATCAAAACGTAAAATACTAAATATTTAACCAAAAATAACATATTATATACAATGTAAAAATAAACCTATATAACGTATAATATACATTAAAGCAGTTAAAATACAATCGCCGCAAGTTTAAGGGTTTTTAATTCCCATTTGTTTTTCTATCACATATTTCCATGCTGTTGGAAGAGCATTGGCGTTTAAGCAGTTATTATTTATTTTGCTCTTATATATCTCCATTTTTTCCATACCAAAGGCAATAGTTGGGGAATGGACCGGTTTAATTATCTTTGCCTCATCCCACTTTACACTTGCTCCATCCGTTTGTGCCATAATTGCCAAGATGGTGTTGTTGTGCCCTTTACTGATGTCATACATGTGTTCTTTTATATGCACCTCCAAGTTTCTTGTGGTGACACCCACATAATCTTTTGCCACTCCTAATTGCTGATTTTCAAAAGGAATTCTATAAACTCCAGCCTTTTCTTTCATTCCTACCTCGTCCTTATCATTCCTTAACAATCTGTAGATGTTTGGCGCCCGTTTATACACAGTTCTTGCGTCTTTATACTTACATAATTCCTCCATTACTCCCTCTACATTCTTGTTATATGAAAATTAATTAAATCTATTTTTTCTACCATCCCATTTGCTTGCCCCTTGTTTGTAACCCTTGACCAATCCGTTAATTGTAGACATTTTGTATCCTAAACTTTTCGCAACCTTCTTGATTCTGTTAATCTCGTTAAGTCGATCCTGTATGTTGGTGCAATATAAGAATGTTCTTTTTATAAGCGCCTTAAACAATGACATCTTGTATCTGAACGGATCATTAGACCATGCCGGAATATATAGAGGAGCATGTGTGGGTTTTAAATACACCGCCGTTTGTACACATCCTTGCTTAAACTTTATGTCAATGTCCAAAAAATGGATCTGCGTATGGCTTTTCTGTTCCAGTTTTAATTTTAACTCATGATTATTGCTATTTATCATACTTAAAAATTTTTCAATTCTTTGTTCATCCTTCCAAATCATCAACACGTCATCTACATATCTTTTGTACATATCACAAGAGTCCCATGTCGGGACTCTTGTGCAAATTGGTGGTGCGTCAACTCGAAAAGGAGGTCCTAGGAAATTTCATGGAGGACATTATATTATACAAAAGATATGTAGATGGCGTGTTGATGATTTGGAAGGATGAACAAAGAATTGAAAAATTTTTAAGTATGATAAATAGCAATAATCATGAGTTAAAATTAAAACTGGAACAGAAAAGCCATACGCAGATCCATTTTTTGGACATTGACATAAAGTTTAAGCAAGGATGTGTACAAACGGCGGTGTATTTAAAACCCACACATGCTCCTCTATATATTCCGGCATGGTCTAATGATCCGTTCAGATACAAGATGTCATTGTTTAAGGCGCTTATAAAAAGAACATTCTTATATTGCACCAACATACAGGATCGACTTAACGAGATTAACAGAATCAAGAAGGTTGCGAAAAGTTTAGGATACAAAATGTCTACAATTAACGGATTGGTCAAGGGTTACAAACAAGGGGCAAGCAAATGGGATGGTAGAAAAAATAGATTTAATTAATTTTCATATAACAAGAATGTAGAGGGAGTAATGGAGGAATTATGTAAGTATAAAGACGCAAGAACTGTGTATAAACGGGCGCCAAACATCTACAGATTGTTAAGGAATGATAAGGACGAGGTAGGAATGAAAGAAAAGGCTGGAGTTTATAGAATTCCTTTTGAAAATCAGCAATTAGGAGTGGCAAAAGATTATGTGGGTGTCACCACAAGAAACTTGGAGGTGCATATAAAAGAACACATGTATGACATCAGTAAAGGGCACAACAACACCATCTTGGCAATCATGGCACAAACGGATGGGGCAAGTGTAAAGTGGGATGAGGCAAAGATAATTAAACCGGTCCATTCCCCAACTATTGCCTTTGGTATGGAAAAAATGGAGATATATAAGAGCAAAATAAATAATAACTGCTTAAACGCCAATGCTCTTCCAACAGCATGGAAATATGTGATAGAAAAACAAATGGGAATTAAAAACCCTTAAACTTGCGGCGATTGTATTTTAACTGCTTTAATGTATATTATACGTTATATAGGTTTATTTTTACATTGTATATAATATGTTATTTTTGGTTAAATATTTAGTATTTTACGTTTTGATGTAAAGAATTTTAAAAATATGTTAAAATTTTAAATTTAAAAATTGTTCGAAAGCTTTGTATTCGATAGCAGAACAGCAATTTCTTGAGGATGGCCTATTAGAAGTAGGCTGAAAACGTTTGAATAGTAAATTAATAATAAGCTCAGCAAGTGTTTGGTGTTTGATTATATTTGTAAGTAAACAGCTGAGGAAGTGGGAATAGATTTACACAACCATAACAAACAGGTTATGTTGGATATACACGTGAAAAGCAATTATAGATTAAAAAAGTATAAAAAAATATATGTGAGCAAACAGTGCAGATCACGTATACATCCTTATCTCAAGGAGACAAGGCAAGAAATGATTAGCAATGAGGTTTTAGAGGTCACATGGTCTTACTTTAAATTGGTACTGTACTTACTTTTTTTATACTGTGTGTCCCAAGAGAAAACATACAGAAATTTTGGAGGATGCTACCTACTGTATTTCTGGAAAGAAGTGAAAGTAATGTGACTGATAAATGTATTGTATTTACTAATTATTCAATAGAACAATCAAATTAATCATCAATCATATCGGATGTAATACAGTTAAAAAATGTGATAATGAATTAACATTTCTGTGTTCTAAATTACATGGAGCTCCTAAGACATGAAAAAGTGGCAAGTGTCAAATACCATTACCCTCTTGGGTAAAGTTCTATGATTAAGGGAGCACGACACAGTGATTCCAAGAATGCTCCTTTAAGCAAACTCGACCGTAATTTGCATTTGAACATCGTACGAAAGGAAATTTCTTCCGTCTTTTTTTTAACAGTTAAAAAAAAACTAAACACAGCTACCAAAAACTGCTTTATTAATGACTTCCAACAGTCAATATGTAAGATGACAGACTTCATAAGATTATGAAAGTATTTTACATATTTGACTCACATTCTCTTTAAGATATATATTCTTTTCTTAAATATTTACTTTTTATCTAAGTCATTTTTGGATAAAACAGTATTTATTTTAATATATGGCAATCATTAAATATATACAGAGTATATATATTAACAAATAATACAACTCTAAAACCTTATATGATACGGCCAAATTTATTATCCCAATTCAAACGTTTTCGGACATCTTTAATGCCCTTTTTCAAGAACGAACTAACTACAATCGAAGTAACTAAAATCGAATACTGGCTAATTTGTATAAACGATAACTGCGTTTTGAAACGCGTATTTAAAAAATTCTTATTGCGCAGACTCGCGCCTTTGTTTACTGTTATAACTAAATGCAATAAAATACAAAACCAATAAGATACATCAAACCATACATAGATGAACATAACATACGTAAACATGCGAAATATAAGCAAACACTCACGACCAATAAATGCCATCTTGCTGATACTATTAATTTGCTCCGTTATATTAGGCTTGATCTCCACGCTTCCGATATCCTACTTGCTTCTCTAAAGTTAATTGCTTTTCCTTCTTGATTACTTTTACAAATATGCCACGCCTCTGCATATTTTAGATGCCGTTTTTAATGAATTTTTTGTATTAACTTTGCCTTATCCCACTCAGCTGTGACTTCTGGAGGGTCTGCTAGGATGTATGTTGCTAGTGCTGTGGCTGGCTGCTCATTCCTTATGTTTCTTTTGTGCTCTATCAGTCTTTCTTTGAGCGATATTCTTGTAGCTCCAATATATAATAGCTCTTTTTGCCGCCTTTTATCTGTTATTGGAACTCTGTATACAAAAGGAATTCAACAGTGTATCAAATGTTAAGGACAGACAAAGATGAAATAGACAAAAACCTTCTTCCCGGAGTATACAGAGTTCCAATAACAGATAAAAGGCGGCAAAAAGAGCTATTTTATATTGGAGCTACAAGAATATCGCTCAAAGAAAGACTGATAGAGCACAAAAGAAACATAAGGAATGAGCAGCCAGCCACAGCGCTAGCGACATACATCCTAGCAGACCCTCCAGAAGTCACAGCTGAGTGGGATAAGGCAAAGTTAATACAAAAAATTCACTAAAAACGGCATATAAAATATGCAGAGGCGTGGCATATTTGTAAAAGTAATCAAGAAGGAAAAGCAATTAACTTTAGAGAAGCAAGTAGGATATCGGAAGCGTGGAGATCAAGCCTAATATAACGGAGCAAATTAATAGTATCAGCAAGATGGCATTTATTGGTCGTGAGTGTTTGCTTATATTTCGCATGTTTACGTATGTTATGTTCATCTATGTATGTATGGTTTGATGTATCTTATTGGTTTTGTATTTTATTACATTTAGTTATAACAGTAAACAAAGGCGCGAGTCTGCACAATAAAAATTTTTTAAATACGCGTTCAAAAATGCAGTTATTGTTTATACAAATTAGCCAGTATTCGATTTTAGTTAGTTCGATTGTAGTTAGTTCGTTCTTGAAAAAGGGCATTAAAAATGTCTGAAAATGTTTGAATTGGGATAATAAATTTGGCTGTATTGTATAAGGTTTTAGAGTTGTATTATTTGTATAAACAGAGTATGTGCGTTTAGAGTTAACCCTCCATTACAACATTACAGATTGCTTAAGTACAGCGTAGAATGTTGATAAAGCATGATAATGTGAAAAATGTATCTGTAATCTTTATCTACCATTCAGTCTGTACGGGGTGACACCACAATGAGATCTTGCACCACCTCAAAATCTTCCTAGGGCAGCCTCTGGTTCGGCCCGTGGAAAGTTTTCTTTCCAATTCGGCCCAGGGGCAAAAACTGTTGGCCACCCCTGGTCTAACTAGATCAGCTTCAAGATTTGCATTTAAAGAATCAACAATAAGAGTTGATGTAGCAATTCAACATAAGCTCAAAAGCACTAGAGTTTTAGTGGAATTTATGTTTTGATTTGCAAAAAAATGGAGAACTATGAAATATTTTTGCTTCATTTAAATTTAACGTTATTATAAAGTTTATTGTGTCCATGTTTGAATGTAGAAAAAGTGAATTTTAAAATATTATTTATTCTAATGCTGTTTATGGTTTCATAGATTAAATTTAGAACTGTCTTACAGCTGAAACATTTAAAATATTAAGCTCTTCTGTACTACTGTGCATCAAACAGCCAGGCCAAGATTTGTGAGGTGCACTTTAGAATAAAATGCTTTTAAAAATTACTATTATATAATTAAAATACATTTTCATACGAGTTACGTATTTTAATATATAAATTTTATCTTTATTTTTGTGTTATACAGAATTTCAGGATATTCAAGACACTGAAAATGAATGCTTTGGTCTGTTAGTTATATTTATGTTGAAAACCTGGAACATGAAGCATATTCCAGGTTGCCAGAATATACTTCAATTTTTTTTTGCACTCTTTTTCCTTTTTTTTCTTGTACTGTATATTCAATAAAACATTTAGGCTATAGTAGTATTTTTGTGGCTGCCAAAAAACTACTATTTTACTGAATATACATATACTTCAAGTTTTCCAGAACCTCAAAATGTTTTTGTGAAACACTTAAGATTAACAGAAAATTTAAATATTTTACATATATTATTTAAACACAAGAAGTAAAAGCAGGAAATAACTGATTTGTCTAGAATCAGTTATTTCCTGCTTTTAGCTCTTGTGTCTTTTTATCATAATTTTTATTCAAGGAATTACCAGGAAAATTATTTCTTTCAAATAAATGAAAGATCAGCAATATAAGTTTTAATATGTTTTCTAAATCCCAAGTTAATCTTAAAACATCCTGTTTCATAAACTAAGTGTCAAAACTTAAATGTTAATTCCTGAGGTAAAGCCAAATCAAGCGTTGAATGAATTGTATCTTCACTAATGAGATAATGACTGCATTCAACTAGATGGTAATCATTTTAAGCAATTTTCCCCAAGTGTTTTTTTTCTTACTAATAGTTTATTTTATTAAATCATTATGTAGATATTGTTGTATACATTAAAAAGATTTTGGGCAGAAAAGCAGAATTATAAACTTTGGTGTGTAGAAATGAAATAATGATTAGACAATGTGTTGCCTAATATCTCATTGAGAGTAAAATTCACAAAAAGTTTTTCTTCTTTACGATTTTCATTCAGTTTTGCATCAGGAAACTAAGATTCAAGTTTTGGCACTTAATTTAGGAATATTTCATATACTGTATGTGTTTTGCAAATGGTCTTAAACCTAACAATTGCATTGTATTAAAATAATTACAAAAATTACAGATTAAGTTTTCATTGTAAAACAATTCATTTTATCTCTTTCAGCACATCTTAATGAAGATAATTTGCATAACCTTGATTTCCAACTGGTGAAAAAAATGATCCAAATACAATGATTGCCGATGATATTATCTATGTCTTGCTCTTGATACTTTCGATTGCAGTCGGTTCCTTCATTAGATCCATTGCCAATGTTAAAAGGCAACAGTTAATTTCAACTCTGTTTGGATTTGTTTTGGTATTTTTTGTATCAGGGAAACATATCATTCATCCAGTTATAACAATTCTTCTTAATTCTGTCATTGTGCTTTATTGTAATAAACAGTAAGTACTTATTTTTAGATATATATTAATATATAAAAACAACAATAAACAATTTGAAGGTGATTAGAATTTATTATTATAATAAATATTCTAAAGCTACCCTCAGGCTTTCTTTCGTAACTTCCTTTTATAGTTTACAACAAAAATATATTTTGTAAAAATGAATATTATGTTGCATATGACAATACAAAGTGGTAAATATTTTAAAATCTGTACTTAGATTATTGAAACAAAAATTAAATAAATGCATCTTTGCATATATTTTCATCATCTTTTTNTAAGGATTATAGACTAATTTATAGAATGAACAGTCAAAGAATATTTACATTATTCATTCATTCATTCATTTCATTAAGTTTATTAACATAACTTTTGTTATATGCCTGATGTTGCATAGCATAATCAGGTGTTATATACAGAAATTACACATTTATAATAATTACATTGCAAAACAATCATATGTATCAGTTGTACAGTGAATGGAGAGGGAATAGATCAATTATAAAAATTAACAAAAGTAACATACAGATGACAGTATTTAAGATACAAAATAACAATTATATATAATTGCTTCCAGAGCAACATTTACAATTAAAATATAACATGTAGTACAGCAGAATTGAACATAATTTATTATAATTAATATAAAACCTGTAACACTGGTATCATACACAAAAGAGAGTGTTGAAAAGAAAATATTAAAATATATTCAGGAAATAATGATATTGTAGTTGGTTACAATAAATGTGTAACAATAAATACTATAAATATTTCAACAATAATACATTAAGTAGATACTTAAATAATTAAGGTGTGTAATACAATAGGAAAATACAACATTCCATAAATTATTTTAACCTATGACATTTACAATATTAAATAATATATATAAGATGTAAGGATATTACAATAAAATACCAGTATTACAATGGGTACAATAAGAATTGTAATGAAATTACAGTAAATAATCACAAGCATACATAGTAATTACAATTTATGAACAATTTATTACAGTAATAAGAGTAATAATAGCAATATTAATAATAACAATGTGACAGAAAAAGTTCTCACACAACTAAACTTTTGCCTGCACATTATGAAAGAGCAAGATGACAGAAGAAAGTTCCTCACATGTCACAAAAGTCTTACATGCACCACAGATAAATACACATCCAAAGTAGAACAAAGTAGCAGAAGGTAGGTTTTTCTCTCAGACCACTATGATTATGTAAGCACTTCATTAATAGAGCAAAGTATCAGAAGAAAATTCCACTCACATCACAACTTCCAGCAGGCAGATGATGTTAATGTTGAGCACTTAACCTGATACCAGCCCTTGAATATGGCCAAAATTGTTCATATTTTTTTTTAACAATGAATGCTGGAAATTGAGAGAAAGGTGTAAATTTTTGTGTTTATAAGATAGTTCCAGCTTTAGGATTTAATAAATTTTAAGTTGCTGTTCTATTTTGTACTCTCTTAATCGAACCTGAAGATGTTCCTAGCATATTGTTATGTATGTAAACCTGCAGGGGATGACCCACACCAAATTGCCCCTTGACTTAGTTAGGCGACCCTGCACCTCTGACTTTTGTCGTGTTCCTTTGTCTCCAGTCAGTCTTGTGTTGACTGTTGTAACACTTAGATCTGGAGGCACAAAGTTACGTTTGTATTATAATAAAGTTAATTATATATGTTAAGAAGTAATTGTTTATTTTACGGACACAACACATATGGAAGAAAATATTTGTTTACAGTAAATATTAGTTTTAAATTATATGCCTTTGTGTCCTTATCATATGTTTAGTACATAATTTGTCTACAAGGACTTTTATTTTATTATTAGGACTTATTATACTGACTTGATTCTGCAATTCAAGAAAACATATCAGAAAAAAACAGTCTTTATTTTTCACCTGAACACACATTACATGATATCATTGTGTTTCGGACTTGTCAGTTCCCTCATCAGCAAGTTTACGATCGACAATTTCTAAAACAAAACATAAAATTACTATAAAACCTATAAAAATATACCCAACAGTAAAATAAGTAATGAAATAAAACTTACAGATTTTTGTTTTTTAAATACATCAACATTCAAAAGCATTAATAGCACATGTAAGTTTGCTGACCTGGTGGATATTGAGGACTTAAAATCCTGCTTCACTGACACCAGTGTAACTTTGGGCTAAAAATCTCACTTCTCTCACCATTGTAAGTTTTCCGACTCTTAGGAGGATTGTTAATCCCGTGTCAGGATGATCTAGGGTCGTTCACATGTGGGTGTGGAGAAGGAGACAGAGATGACAAGTATCTTACAAAAACCCTTTATTTTAGCATAAAAATAAACTTACACTAAGAAACAAATATTTTCTAAACACGATCAGCTGGTTGGAAGTCAATAGCATCGATGCTCTTTTAGTTGTTTGTTGTATAGGTGGCTCCGGGGCAGTGTTGTTAAACAGTTTGAGAGACTCCATTGGTCGGCATCGGCAGTGGCACGGCTCAGTATCAGCACAAAAACGGAAAGATTCGTCCCCAGTGTGTTGACACAGCGCTTCTGATTTTCACTACTTTGTATTGACTCATCCAGTGCTTTTTGCCGAGTGCATCTTGCCAAGTGCTTTTCAGTTGGGATTGCAATGGGGATTACATCAATCTCCGATCTACCCTTTTTGTCCATCCTGATTGGCTCCACGTTTGTCCTAAGCGAAAGACGAGACCTGTTTGGGTCCCGAGAAGGTTTGCTTCAGGGAATTTACTCGACACCATTCATTAACTCTGGATGGAAGGTGTTGATGGGACTTTTAACTTGTGCTCATTTTACCCCATTATTGTCTAGTCTATGATGTCTTAGAATTTTAACGACCTGATGTGATGTCTCCTTTTATAATTAACCTTTCCCCTCTTCAAGATTTTCTATGTTCTAATTATTTGTATATAAGTGCCTTGTGAACGGTCCATCTCTACTGGAGGATGCTCATTTACATTTATTGCATCATGTTTTACATTAATAGTATTTTTTCTTGTCTCGGTTTCATATGACTAGCACAACTGAATCCTATCTTTGATCGGGTTTTAACAATGGAGATTTTTTTCTCTCTAGTTTTGTTTTAATAAATTTCTAATATAAATGTTTAATTTCAACCCGTTTTTTGTGGGATCTCACGCACAAAACTGATCATACTTCTAAAATTCCTGTGAAAAATATGTAAAACCTATGCAGATTCCTAACGTAATTAATTATAAATCTATAGTTCCAATAAGCATGAAATTTAATATATTTAAAATGTGTATGGACAAAATTAAAAATAGAACAAGTAAAATAGATACTCAAAAACAGGAAAAACAAGATATAGTTAAAACATTCATATTAAACAACTACCCAAAAATACTATTAGAAAGATGGATACAAAAATTAGAAAATGATGAACAGCTGAAAAAAGATTTGATAAAGAAAAACAGTTTGTAAAATTAATGTATATACCAAAATTATTTGAAAGAATTAAAAAAGTAATAGAAAGTAAAATAAATTTAATACCCAAAAAAATAAATTTGACTAAAAAAGATCTTTATTATAGAAATGATAAAAAATATGAGATAACAGAAGAAAAAGGTGTAGTATATTCGTTTGATTGTAGTTGTGAATAAAAGAAAACATATATTGGAGAAACAAAAAGAAAATTAAAAATACATATAAAAGAACATATTCACGTCATCAAAAGCAATTATGCAAATTCAGCAGTAGAACATTGTAATACAAAATGATGCAAAATAGATTTGAGTACTATGAAAATAAAGAAAAATGAAATAATTTTAAAAGGCAATTATATGAACATATCCACATAGCAAGACAAAGAAATAGAATGAACAACAATTTAGGAAGGGAAATACACCAATTGTGGAACAGAATCATCAACAGAGGGAATGAGGGGTGGAGGTATAAAAGGAATGATAACCTCATGATAAGATATTGTCCAAGTACTGATAGAAGAATGATGATGTAAGTTTTAGAAAATTTTTCAACCAGCTTTTCTGATTGTAACTTATAACTTTTATTATTGTATACAGGAATTTTAGAGGTATGATTGGATATGTGCTATTAATGCTTTTGAATGTTGATGTATTTAAAAAACAAAAATCTGTAAGTTTTATTTCATTACTGGGTATATTTTTATAGGTTTTATAGTAATTTTATGTTTTGTTTTAGAAATTGTCGGTCGTAAACCTGCTGATGAGGGAACCAACAGTGATATCGTGTAACGTGTGTTCAGGTGAAAAATAAAGACTGTTTGTTTTTTTTATGATATGTTTTCTTGAATTGCAGAATCGAGTCACCAGTGTAATAAGTCGTAGTAATAAAATAAAAATCCTTGTAGACAAATTATGTACTAAAGCAAAGATTAGTTGTTTTTGCAGGTTTTTTGATGCATTTGATGTACATTACTTTTAGTATTTCACTTTTAAATTTATCGAATTTTAGAATTAAACAATATAAATATAATATTAAAATTATAATATGTAATGCATATTTCAGGTATTGTCATGTGTTCAGTTTTGTATGCTGTTTTCTATATTTGGCATTTTTCCGTACTGCAGAATACTTTGGTTTGACAACCCCTCCTGCTCATACCAATGCTATTCAGATGATTCTAACATTAAAGGTAACTTTACATATAATAACTTGATGTGTCAAAATACATTTATTGGCAGCTAAATTCTTATTTAAAATTTGAATGGTGTATTTTTATAAGATATAATAAATTACAGTGTAGGTGAATGGCTAAGGTGGTTAAATTTTATCTTACTATTCTGAGGAAATTGAGATCAAATCTGGGTGAGCAACCCCAGGAATTTTTCACAGGTTGTTGAACCCTATTCCTCATCATCTAGCTTCCTTGAGGCATTATGATCCTGGCTGAACTGATGGACATGGAAAAAAATCTTCTTAGAGTCTGTAGGACAGAAAGAATCAAAAATGAAAAATAAATAAATACAGTAAAACTTCTGTAACTCTAAGCTCCAAGGGACAGGAAAAATTGAGTTGCAGATGATTCAAATTAGAAAATAATTTATTGGAAAATGCCGATCCTGAATAGATTTGTATTTTTACCTCTCACATTACATAAAGAATCTTTGAAAGATTTTTGTTTTAAAGAGCCTGTGTAATGCCTTTCAGCAAAATGTTCAATATAATGGAATTTAACAATTTTGCAGGTACTGTACATCTTATTGAGATAAAACAAGAGATCCTCTTACTTTAGACTGGAACATTGTCTGCAAATGGGTGTTGAACAGTAGATACAACTAACTATCTGAAAATTTCATGGAAATCCAATAATTAGGGTCACTTTGGATAGAATAAATATTAAAATTCAAGTCAAGGAAATTGAGAGTAATATAAATCAAACTCGGGGAACAATGAAAACTTTCAACTTGGAGAAAATGCAAGTTAAGGAAATTTAAGTTGAAGATATTAAATCCCTATGCTATTCCACTGAAAGCTTCATTTTCTTCAAATTAAAGAAATATTTGAGTTAGAAAAGTTTTACTGTACACATGTTGTGGGTGTGTGGATATGTACAAGCCGATGGCCAGATCCAAAATGTGGTAACTTGTCTGTCAATGAAGAGTATGGAGTACTTTCTGGTGTCCAATCTATAAAAATTTATGATGATCTGAACCAAAACCAAATCCAGGTTCTTCAGAATGGCAGGCTGAAACATTTACTGCCTGTCATCCAACACTGTTTTAATAACATCTTACATTATAATAATAATCAATATTTTATTTATTTATAGGTTATATTAGTAATATTTAAATTGTATTTATATTAATACTAATATATAAAGAATTTTATTTAACATAAAAACATTGTCTTATTTTAAGAAAATTTAATTATGGCTTTTAGATTTTTGAAATTAAGTAATTCTGTGTTTCAGCAGGTTTTCAAATTGAAGAAAATGGAGTAATTTCAACCATTTAGAAAATAAAATTAGAAATTTAAATTTCAAGACAGAATGAATCTGCATGATTTAACCACTTCCAATAAACTCAATCATGTGCAGCCATTCCAAACTGTTTCTAACCATTCTTAAAATATAAGGTGGTTAATTAATTTTTGGACTATCCTGTTAGTGTAGTTTGCCGTGTAAGATATATTTTTTCCCAAAAATGTTGGAAAATGGGATGTGTCATAATACATTGGCAAATACAGTAAATTATGTCCACATATACATATGTATATTTTAATATGGTGATATTTGTAAATAGGTGTCAAAATGTTTATGTAATGCTAGTTTAAAATTATTGATTTTAAATGGTTAAACTATATATTTATATATTTATTTTACAGATGGTCGGAATTGCATTTGAGTTGAATCACTCGCATAAGATAAATCAAAATGCTACCAAAGGCATCTCATTAAAACATCAATATGAGATGATTAACCCATCGTTCATTGATATAATTCATTATTCATTTTGTCATGCAGGTGTTCTAATTGGTAAAGTATATTCCTGATAAATTTGAATTTAATAATTTTGCCAAAGTTAATTACATTTTAATATTCAGTTAAAATTTTTATATATAATAGGAAATTGTTTTTGTTGGAAACAGAAGTCATATTTTGATAAAAATATATTTTGTAAAAATGAATATTATGTTGCATATGACAATACAAAGTGGTAAATATTTTAAAATCTGTACTTAGATTATTGAAACAAAAATTAAATAAATGCATCTTTGCATATATTTTCATCATCTTTCTATCATATTTTTAATCATAAGTTTTTTCTTTTTTTCTCAATGGTCTAATTAACTAATGATGTAAATAATTGCTTCAAAAAATATATTAATTGATGTTACTGATTTTCAACACTTAACAGTCTTTGCCATTTGACTAATATATATTTATCAAAAATTCTGAATTATTAAAGTAATTTTATTTTCTGTAAGCAATCTACTTCTCAAATTATTATTTCTAAGTATTAATATAAATACAGTTGTCCCTCTATAGTCCGACATTTTTTAATCCAACATGCTCAGTAGTCCGACGCACCTCCCGTCAAGGTAGCCGTCCCCGTTACGTGTCTGCTTGCACAGATGCATGTTGCGATGTGAATCTCCCCATCTAATTCTTACTCGATGACACACATTTCGTGTGTTTTATGTGAGCAGTTCTGTTCGAACAGTTGGAGTAGAGAATATTGTAGGTTACTGCTAGCAAAACAATGTGAAATATGTAATTATTTTCGGTAATCCAGACACTTTTGGTAATCTGACACACCTTTGGTCCCATACCTGTCGGATTATCAAGGGACAACTGTATTGATATTAAGTAATGTGTATAATGTATTTTATTAACATGGATTCATGTATGTACTTGATGATAGGGAAAGTGGCAAATTTGTGGTAAACATTATCATCTGTTGTGATGCCACTTCAGAATACTGTGACAATAGATACCAATCCAACTCTTACAGCAATCGCTGTGTTGCTGTACATGTGAGAGTTAACAGTAGTGTTGGCTTGTTGCATGTGATCTGTTATTGTGGTAGCAGGTTTGAAAATGATGTAAAAAACTTAAAAATTCTTATTTGATGATAAAAGAATTTAAAGACAAAGCATTTGAACAAGCACTTCAATCATCATCCTTTATGAATATTTGTTATATGTTTTATAGAAAAACAAAATATGGTTGTTCTTTTGAGGACAACATTGCGATTTTGATAACCATCTTTCTATTCTGTGCCACACACGTGCATCCTCCTTTATAAGTCAACACTTGAAAACAGAGATGGCAAATCTTTTCGAATGTGCAAATTTTATGTGAATTAAAACTATTAATGGATGCCAGTGCTTTAAAAATTAAAATTGCAGTGCTTTAAAAATTAAAAAAAAAAACAATATTAATTGAAATAAATTATTGTAAAAAAACTGAAATTTACACACACAAAATATTTTCTTGATTAAACTTATGTATATTTTAAAAACATTCTCAATTCCTTGAAGTTTATTTAAAGTCCTGAGACTTTTATTGAGGCTAGGGAAACAGGAGACAAGTAGATACAAATGATTAAAGTATTCCAGTTTTTATGTTTTTAGAACTAAATTGCTTACTGAATTTATGAGTTACAACATTTGAAATAATTACTATTTTCATAGTTAATCTGATTCAAAATCTTCCAATTCAGTTATTACATTGTCATTCAATACGATGTTATTAGAATCAGGATCTTCACTACTGTCTTATGATTCAGACTCACTATCTTCAATTTCAGTTTTCCTAATTACCGTTTGGCTTTCAACTAATGAATAAGCTTGAACTTATGAAAATTTCAACTTTCTCACACACAATATTTGACATTATTTATAATTTTATTTCCAGAAATGTTCCCATAAACCCTGGAATAAAAAATGCTGCTGATTTTAGACTATTTGAACAGGTAGAATTTTAGTTAAATTTCTTATTTGTCACTCTAAATTACATTATCCAGGTTGAAAAGCATGGGAAATATATTAAAGTGTATTTTGCTTCTCAATTTGATGATTATTTGAGACAGGTATTTATTTTTAATATCATCATTTCCTGGGATTTAATTGAGAAAATATGGTATGACATACAATAACCTAAAAAAATAGAAGCAATTTATATGTAATATACTAGCAGATATATCTGGTGCTGCCTGGGCTAAAACTAAGAACAGCAAAACATTAAAATGAAAACCATTTTAAGACTGGCTATTTTAGCCTAACATTGTCATGTTTACCTCAATACTCAGATGGTATAGAATGGTGCAATGTCATTAGTCAGGTAGACAGAAGTTGATATTTTCTCAACAAAAATCAGTCATTGACTTCCACTTGCATGAGAAGAAAATTCAAGACACCCTAAATTTTTCTAATGTTTACTCTAACATACCATTCACAGCCAAATTTGAAATGGTAATTGGTCATCCAGTCAAATTTCACAAAAAAAATGGACCAAATATTTAAACATGGCACCCTCAAAAAATTGTAAAAACATATTTTGTTCTCACTGATAACTTCGTATTAAGTAATTTTCCTGTTCAAATGCCACCATTCATTTAGTCATGTAGAAAGGGGGCCTGTTGCAGGTGGGGGATTGATTTGATCAAAAGTAGTTGGTGACCTTCCAGATGATCTCTGAAAAGTTGCATTTACTCAAACTGTACCAAAATGTATAAAGAACAAATTAATAAACTTCAGTGACATGCCGTGACATTTGATGATAGGGAAGCTGTGTTTCTGTAAGAAGCCGACTTCAGGGGCAATCAGTTAATTGCGCATCAGTAGTGATGATCTAGGTTCCATTTGTACGTGCATGGTGACAGAATAGACAAAGACAACAAGTATCTGACAAAAACCGCTTATTTTAACATAAAATAAACAAATACTATGTACAAAATAGTTTGCTTTAGGACAATCAACTGTTCAGACATCCTGGGCATTGATGCGGTTCTTTGATCATTGATCAAAGGTGGCCCCAGGACAGTGGCATTGACAAGTTTGTAATGCACAGGGAGACTTCGTCTGTTGGTGTCGGGGACACGGTCTAAGTCCGAAGTGGCACAGATTACAGGTCACTAGCGTAGTGCCCCTGGCAAGGGGGCCTATCATGCCCCAGGCACCACTTGCAGAGGGGTGCCAAATGGTCTCAAGACAAGCAATTTTTTGGACGGGATTTTTTGGTTTCGGGAAGGGGAGGGGACACCAATAAAATGTCATGCCCCGGGCACCAGTTATGTTTACTATGCCACTGTTACAGGTTGGCACAATAGAGAAGAAACTTTTTTTGGCATGTTGACACATGGTGTTTTGGTTATTCAGAACGTTAACCGAGTACAAGGTATCAGATTGTGCTTGATTTTCAGAGATTATGTCAATCTCCGTTTTTTCTTTTGTCCATTTTGATTGGTCATGCTCCCTCAATCACGCTTCCCGAGTGGCTGGTCCCTCGTTACTAAGCTTAACGAGACTTCTACCTGGAGCACTATAAAGGTCAAAATTGAAGATGGATATGATCTTCCACCAATCATAGGATGACTTCCTTCTCCGATTTATGGTTTCTGCGTCGCAGTTTGATATAAACAATAGGTGTCCGACTACAAATGACTTTTTCCTATTTTTTTTTAAACTAATAAATTTTTCTCTAAATTAACCATTTTTTCGCGTCTTTCATGACAGTTCGACTTGTCCGGAACAACACATTTCCATAAAAATTTTAAACAAATACTGGAAATGACAAAAATAAACAATTTATGTATTTTAGTTCTAAAATACAAATAATACATACATAATACAGATTGATATGATACAAACAATGATAGAAAAACTTGTTTTTTAATTTTCTATAAACTAACTCTATTCGGGGATTTATTTTTTGGCAAAGTCGTTAATTACTTTATCATAAAAGTTGCTTGTCGTCGATTCCATCAATGTATTTGAAAGCTCTTTTTCTATTGAAAATGATGCTAGCAATGACAATTTTCCTCCGACCGAGTGTTTCTGGCCAATGTATGAATTTGCTTCGTGGTTGCTCACAGCGGCGGGGCAAGAACTAAATTTGATGTGGGCAAGGTACATTTCGTGAGGCCCTCTGGTGGCGCAAGAAGACGGATTTTATAAAATAAAAAGCAGTTGAAACTCAAATTTTTATTCCTAAAAATGCAAATTATATTCTTTAACTAACATTTAAAAAATTAAAAAAAAAAAAATTAAAGAAACAGAAATCTCCTGCTTTTAGCCTTACCGAACTCCTTAATAATTGTATCATAATTCAGCTTAGATGCTATATATGCTTCAATAGATAAAACTGCCAAAGCTGAAAGTCTTTCCTGACCCATTGTATTTCTTAAATAATTTTTTTATAGTTTTAATTTTGAAAAGCTCCTTTCAGCGTAGGCAGTACTTAACGGTATTGTTAAGAAAATTCAAACGGCAATGTAAATATTTGGGTAAATTTCTTTCAAGTTATTTTCTGTTACATATGGGAGCAGTTGTTTCACATCTTTAATGAAGTTGGATAAATTTGGGATCATTGTTTGTAATTCTTCATATAATTCGTAAGGTTGGAAGTCGTCGCTCTCACCCACTGGCAGGACTGAGTGTAAATCTTGACGGTTTTTTTAATATTTGCTCTTTTGGAATATTTTTTAACTCATTTAGATCATAGAGAAAGCCAATTTTCAAAATGTTGATTTAAAGACATAAATCCCAAATCCATATTGCTTATTATAGAATCAATCGTGGTGTTAAAAAAATCTGTTTCATACCTGTTTTTGGGAGACTGTATAGGTTGATCACTGCCTTCGTAATCGAACATTCTTTCCTTTTCGGTTACCCTTTCGTTTTTAGTCTTTTAGCAGTTAATAACTGCTATTCTCGATAAATTGACGAGCTTCAGACAAGCATTTTTCGAATCCAGTTAGTCGATATTCTTTGATCCAGTCACAAAATGTACACAAATGTTTAAGAGCATCGCTTAAATGGACTTGTAAAGATTGCCATAATTTGCTTATGATATTAACACGCGATAATATCTCATACCACACATGTAATGATATGATAAATTCTAAACTGAGCATTTAGTTTAAAACCAAATCACAATCACTGAGTGAGTTTGATTGTTCCGTTCGATTTTTTAAGTTTTCGATGCATTCAACATCAAATTGCAATAATACGGCCTTCACTACCTCAATTCTGCTTTCTCACCTTGTGTCTGATAAAAGCTTCATAGTAAGCTTTAATTTGCCTTTGATTAATTCCCAGCGTTTGCTGGGAATTAATCAAGCTCTGGCTGGCAAGGATTTCCCGCGATAGCAACCCTACGCCTTCAAATGTTGCTAGACTAAATAAAAAGAAATTTGGTATGTCAATATATTTATCGTTTTATGACAAGTAAAAGTTTTTCGTTGAGTTTACGGCTTTTATTTAATGCATAAACCTTCGAAGTGCGAGGCCCCTAAGACAGCGAGGCCGTAGGCAGTTGCCCACATCACCCACGCCTTACGCCTTAATTATAATACTTTTTATGTCTGAGTTACTTGTCAATATAGTCTGGACACGAATATAAATATTGTGATTCACTACGTAATTTAGATAAATCAAAAAATTTCCAAAAAATTTACTTAATTTAAAGAATTAAAACATGCTTGAGAAAATTGTTTTTCATATTTAAAATTATTAACATCTAAAAGTGATAAAAATTCTAACGATTTTATGTCTGAAAATCTGTCAATATATTTAAATATAACTTTGCAAAGAAACGTACAAAACAATAACATTGAATACTCTTTACTTTTTAAGTCTTAAAACAATTCACTTAGTCAAATAGCTTCCTACCAGTGGCAAAGGGATAGAATCATTGGAAGCATTATGGTGTGTAGCATCCACCAGCTAAACCACCAGAGGTTTGTGCTCTGTAAAGTGCATGTGCCAATACCTGTAAATTGGCTGCTTTACACCATTCAAATATTTTCACCCCGGAAGCTGACAATACAGTGCTTCCATTGGGAATATCCATACACGAATTTAGATTCGAATATATAATAGCAATCTTATCGTTGTTTTTCACATATAGTTTATTTTTATTATTAATATACCACATTATGTATTTTATCACAGATTTTTATATGAAATCTGTAATAAAATACTTAATGCAGTTATAAAAAAATATTAATTTTAAGTAATTCAAAGTATGTTCAAATATGAAAATAGTTGTGCAATAAAAATTTATATTTTAGAAAATACAAGGGAAGCGACACTTCCATAGCTTCCAATGACAGCATGCCACTGATAAACTTTCTTCTTTTTATATTAGATGAGTTTTCCTTACAATATTACAGAACATCTTACTATTTATATAGGCAGATTATGTATAGTCCACCTCCAATGTAGAGTTTTAAAGTTCTCGCAGTCGTGGAAGATTGAGTACAGCATCATGATTATAATAAAATCCATTTAGTATCAAATCAGTCGTGGTGATAGTGACATAAAACTTCACAAATGAATATCATTCAGGTTTGAATATTTTGAGTAGCAACCAAAGTATTGTTTAATTGGAACTTTCTCCAGCTTGAAATTATCTTCTGATGAATAGTGTAAGCATTTAAAGATCAAAGGAAATCAATTAAATGATGATATAAATATGAAAAATGCATGCATAAAATGAATTAAGGTAGGAATGTTATAGTATTGAACACTATATAGTTAGTTTCACACTTGACAGAGCATGATAGATAAACACACACATTTAATAAAATTCAGCAGTCTAGCTCTAACATCTAGTAATTAGACAATAAACTGGTCTTTACAACAAAAAAGTATTAAATTATGCATATAAAATAAGATTTCTAATTTATTAATATAGTAATTTAGATATTGCATGCACATTAAATTCAATAAATACAGTACATACATTACTTAAGCAAACTATAGATTTGCCATCTTATACAAACCCTGCTTCTGTTAATATTTATTTGTTTAACCATTTTATATTAAAAACATTTTATACTATTAATAAGAGAGCATTTTTTTATTTGCAGGACCTTATTACAAATACAAAACTTATCATGATGCTTTTCATACATCTTATATTTCTGAAGTTCCTTGTGGAAAATTTCTTAAACAAAGATTATGGCCTGTTCCCATATATTTCTGCCTTTTCCTTTTGTTTCATTATCTATTTCCTTTAGAGGTAAGTAATTTCATTTTTATTTCCATGTATTGGTATCACAATAATTTAAACTAACATTTTAGCATTTAAATTACTGTAAGAAGAATGAAGCCAAATAGCTTATTCTATTACTTATGGCTATATTAGATAAAGGGAAAGTGAAAACCTGATTGCTTCATAAGTAGGCAGATTGTTTAATTATCACAGAAAAAATTTATTGCATCATAAGATATTGGTATTAGATAGTAAAAAAAAGTCTTGCATTACAATATGATTATTTTATAGTAGTGTGTAAACTGTAGATAGTCAGTTTAGAGACAATTGCGTGTACTCAACAGAAAGTACAAGAGAGACCAGTTTAATGCTTTTGTTAGAATATCCTAGACTATGCCTTCTCTAAGAATCTAGGAAGAGTTTAGAAGCAGATCATCATTAAACATAAAGTAATAAACAAGTCTTTGGTTCTTTTTGACACTTAATATAATGCAACTATATGAAAAATCCTACCATGTTTCTACAGAAATAAGAGTATGCTCTTATGTGTCAGATAGTTTTGGTTTATAAAGGCATTGCACTGCTGTGTTTATGTAAATTAAATGTAAAAATACTGATATCAGTAACAGTGATATCTCTGTGTGTAACAATTATTAAAAATAATAATAATAAAATTCTTTCAAAGCTATGAAAATTTTTAGAAATAGCAAGTTATTTTTCTATGTACAGTACTTTGCAGATATAGTGTCAATTTTGCTCCATCTATAAGAGCACATGCTTTTATACTTGGATATAAGAGCATGCTCTAATGTATGAAATATAGCACATGAAGACAAAGCATTTTTATCATGATAAAACACCACCTTATCTGAAATACATTATGTTCCATATATTATTTTTGTCCTAAATATAAAAATCCACTAAAACTGTCCCATTTGTTGCTCATTTTTTTGAATAGATATTGCATAGTGAGTAAATTTAGTGGACTCTTTGCACCTGATATAGATAGATAGATAAATATTTCTTTAGATCCATTGAAATAATATGGCCAATCAAATGATCATATAGAAAATTATTGATCCATTATTGTGGAATCCAAATGTGAAGTAAACGTTTGCATTTGATCATAGGACTCAAGGTTAGGATATTGTTTCCTGTCTCAGCATTTATGAATTATCTCTTCTATTCACTAGAAGTAAAAACTTTGCATTTTTGATTACTGCTTTTTAAATTATATTTACAGAAATGGTAGGTAGTAAAGAAAAAGTTATAATTTTAATAGTTAATTTGCTTTTAAATAAAATATTCTATAATAATAACAATAATATATTGAGTAAATTGATTATTGTAATTTTATTTTAGTATGCAACATCAGACGATATTAATTTACGATCTGTATGGTATCGGATATTTTATATGACTCCAATATTTATTAACTTTCGTATGAGGATATACATTGGTTTCATTCTCGGCGAATGCGTTTGTATCATGTTTGGAATTGGTGCTTATCCGACAATTTCAGAGCCTCAGCCAGGTAAAGGTCCAACAAATTATGCTGCATTAAAGCAATTGTAAGTATGAATAGACTTCATTGTAATAAATGTATAAAAATATTTAATTATTGAATCAAGTTTTGTATCAAGAATCAAGTTATATATATATTGAAATCTTTATTAATTTAGTGAAGATGATTTTGACAAAACTTCTAAGCAAGAATTCAGTTTTGAAACAGTTCATAATATCAATGAATACGGAAGCGAGTTTTCTCCAACCATAAGGGGAGGAATAAGATCGTGGAACCGCACTGTACAGTACTGGTTAGTCATGTTTGTTTATAAACACATTCCTTGCTCCAAGCCAATAAGGTAAGTTTTATCAATTAAAATATTTTTTCCTAAAATTATATATATTTCTGGGTGTATTTTTAGAGCTGCTATTCGTCATCAGAAGTTTAATGCTTAGTATATATTTAACAGCCCACTAATTTCTACATCTAGAAATTAGTGGGCTTAATAATAATAAGTACACTAAAATGAAGCAAACTTGCATAATTGAAATATTGTCTTTTACATTTGAAATAAATCTCTAAAATAATATATGTCTGCTATAGTAAAAGACCATTTTAATAAAATTTTAACTGCATTTATAAGATTGTTCTAATTATACTTTGAGGTGCTTAACATTAAAAACAAAATCTTGTATGAGTATAAATGAAGTAATTATTTCCTTCAATTTGAAATCTTGAAATTTTTCAAAAACTTTCAGTAAGTTCTCTTTCCGGTGCATTGCTTAGCAAGCTTCATATTTTATTGTAATGCATTTGTTACAATAAAATACAAAGCATGGTATTGTTACATGCATTTTATAAAAATGAAAAACCTAAATGTTTTTTATAAATTATTTTGTATACTAGTACATTCTATATATTAACAGGACTTATTATAATAAGTCCTGTTAATGTACTAGTATACAAAATAGAATGTACTAGTATACAAAATAAATTATAAAAATGTTAAAAAAGGACAAAAAGGCATAATAATTAAACCTAAATGTTTATACAGACACATCAAATTACTATTAGATGATTTTCAATCCTAAAAAATATATCTTGACATGTCAAAATATCCTTTCATCTAAAACATAATTTGAATATTAAAAAATTTAATTATTATTTTTCCAGATAATTTATAAAAAATTGTTTTATTTGATATTTAGCAATATATTATAACCATTAAAAACTCAGAGGTTCAACCTTATATTTGAGGCTACGACCTCAGTAAAATTACATAAAAGACAAAATGCCTCTAATATAAGGTGAACCTCAGTGTGATTTAGGTTAGTTCCTAGTATGTAAAAGACAAGTAAAGATGCCAGTTTGGTAGTCTACATTTCTGTTTTTAATGAACATTAGTGTTGTAGATTATTATTTTTAAATTGTATAAAAAGTGGTTGTAATATATTTATCACAATATCTTCTAACCTGATTACTAGCGTTATGAACACTCTCGTACACACTTATTGAACCTTTATATCCAGTACTGCTTAAATTTCAGAAAACAAACAAGTATAAACTCAAAAGATGGCTTTAGAGTTTACATCCATTTGTTTTCTGATGCGCTTTCACACGCCTGGTGTTACATATGCAAAGAGCAAGAAATTGCTGACACTTCATAGCACGCACATATGTTCAAATTTATTTTAAAACTCAATGCTTGAAATTGTTTCAAAAGTTGTTCTAAGATTGGAATCCAGTTTTCATTTAACCTGAAGCAGACCTTGGGTGAGGCCAAAAACGTTTGTTTTCCAAAATTTAAGCAGTACTGGAGATAAAGGTTCAATGAGTGTGTATGAGAGTATAATATATTTATCTTCTCAGATATAAAATCATTGTAAAAATATTAGAATTCTAAATGCTAAATCTTATAAACGATCAGATATAAAACAAAAAGTTTATTTTGTGATTGATAATTAAAGTTAACAAAGAGAAATATAATACCAAAAAGGAAAAAAAATTAAATTATCCATAATTTAATCTACTCAATCATAAACTAAAACTGATTAAAAATTAATTTCTGAAGCCAGAATTATTAATTACAACAAATGTTATGCTGATAGTAACCTATAAAATACAGTGATAAGCTAATTGCTACTTGTTCTTTTCATGTTTAAATCACTAATTCTGATGATAATTTGGGAATATTTCATTTGAGCAACTTCAATTTGTGTAGTAAGCACTTCTTTATCAATCAATTTTTCAACAGTTGATTGCTTCTACACTGCATTCTTGCTAATCCAAACTAATTTGTATAGTTTAGTGAAAAGTTTGTATTAACAGTTATATTATGCAGAAATCAAAAAGGTCTGCAGACAAATACATATATTTAAAGTCATGTACCAAAAGCAGTATAAAAATCTGTCATGTTTTTGAACAATAATCTGTGATTACTTTTTGTTTTTTGACAAGAACGTTTAGTGGATAGCACTATAATAATCTTTTAAAACAGTTTTGGTCATATGTTGTTAATGAATGAGTGAATTTCCATAGCAGTGCAAAGTTAGTCATCAATGTCTGTCCAAGGATTGTTCTCTCTTCTAAGAACTTCAAATTCTATCGTGCCATTACATCAGTTAATAATTGAATGTCCAAAGTATTCTACTTAATGTGATGATAAAATTTAAGAATTCAACGTTTTTTAATATATTGGTATTGCCTTTTATATAGTATTGCTGGATAATAATACAAATCAAAGGTATAGTACTTTTTTGTCAAATACTATATCTTTGTATTGTTATTATCCAGCAACAACAATGATATTTATTTTTATTTATTTAAACAAGAAAACTTTAATTGAAAAAGTTCCCAATTCAAATGTGTTCCAAGTACATATGATGATGATATTGTATTGTGAAAAATACTAGCAACATATACATTTATTCATTTTACATTATTATTTTTGATATACATATCATCATAAGACAGCTTTTGTTTAAGAATAATATAATATTGCATTTTAAAATAAATTATTTATTATTTTAAGATGCAATTTTATGTTTATAATTCTCCAAACTTATTAATTTTTATTTGTAATCATTAGCATGATTAAAAATTAAAATTTAATTGAATATTCCTCTTTTATATTTTTACAGAATGATAGTCACCATGTTAGTTAGTTCTTTCTGGCATGGAGTACACGCTGGATATTATCTTTGTCTTCTGAGTGCTCCCTTCTTCCTTCTAGCAGAATCTCAAATGGAGAAAGCCTTTCGATTTGGTAGTTATAAATTTCAAACAATGTTATTTGATTTCTTATGGTGGATCTTTAAAATGCAAGCATTTGCATACATGGGAATGGCATTTTTACTGCTTCGTGTCGACGCCATTTTTGGGTACTGGAAATCTATTTATTTTGTTGGCCATGTTCTCATCATAATTTTCTATTTGTTAGGTTATTTTGTGAATATATACGTAAAACGTCCCAAAAATCTGGAAAAGAAAAATTAATGTATTTATTTAAAATCAAAGATGCCACTATTATAAAGCTTAATAGATTTTTCTTATTTATAAAATTATTTTATATCCAAAGTTTATAGGCCTTTGTATCAATATCAAATTGCTTAAACAATGTATACATTATTTTCAAATCATTTGCACAAAACTCAAAATTAATTTTATTTTACAATTTAATGAAAAAATAAATTTATATCAATTATTAATAAGTAGCAACAAACGTGTTATGAAAATCTGAACCTTAATATTAAATGAGCATTTATCTGTTTATTTGATTCTTTGAATTTTCTTACATTCAATCTGTACAGAGTGTAATAAATGAATCTTGAGGATTTAGTTAAATGATTCATGTAAATCTTTAAGTATAATAGATACTTGAGGTTACGTGTATAATAGATAATTGGCCTATCTATTAATGTTTGTGAACATGATCAAATTTTTTATTACAGAAAAAGATGTTTATTGATTAGGTCAACTGTCTGATGTTTGATTCTATCAAAATATTCATTTAAAATATTGATCATATTCATAATAATAAAGCCAAAAATATTGGCATATTAAACAATGATTTTTATCATTGCTACAATCAATTACAGTATTCCTATCATTAATATTATAGAATAATAATAATTTGTAGTCAATTGTAAAAAGATATTCACATCTTTCTTATTACAGTTTAAAAGAAAATTTTGCAAAATAAATTATTTCTGCACTGTAATTTATTAGCTGTAAGAAAAATTGTATGAAAGAAGTAGAAAGAAAAATTTATTAGCTATTTTAAAATGAATAAATAGTGATATCTATAATATAAAAATTAATTTACTGAGGGATGATTCTTTTGAAAACGAATTCATTCGTGTTTTGATTTTAGTAGCAGAATCAATCAGAAAATAAATGACGACAAAAGCACCAGTTATAATAATGTGCCAAATGGCAATTACGATACTTTAAATGGTGAAAAGCAAAAAGAATGAAATGTTTTAATTTATTTTGTATTATTGAAATGTCTTTATTATTATGTTAATATTTCTGATTAATATAGAAAGTAAAGAAGATATTTATTCTATGCTAGTTGTATTCAATAAAGGATAAGAGAGATCTTCAAATATAATTCCTTTAATTTCTGTGATAATACTTAATAAATCCTTATAACAGTTTTTATCGAATAATAATTAATTTTGTATTGACAGATAGACTCATTATGCTACAAATGATGATGATAACATCTATAAAACAAAAAAGTAATTAAGTTTTCCAGCTCTTCCTTTGGGAGAAGCAAATAATTCTTTATATTTAATTTTTATCATTAAGAAATCCATTGTAAACTCCATTTTGCATAATTCATATCCTTATGTGAGCTTAATACTTTTTTTACTATAATTTTTTAATTCCATGGCATCTTTGATTCTTTTTATTATAATTGTGAAATACTCTTATTGAAATTATTTTCTCATTTGTCATAATTTTTTCCCCATTTAAATGGAACAAGGTTATTAAAAAACAAATTAGAACATAAAAATAATTTATGAACAAAAAGATTTTTAGAGAGATGACGTATCATCTATACATATGTGTAAATTGAAATTAGTAAAATGCTACAGATTAAACAAAAAATTTACATTTTATAAAATGTATATTTAATAAACTATTATAATATAGTTATTTATAATAAATAATAATTGACGATAGTTTTAATATTTATAAGGAAAGTAAAAAATGTGTCTGAAAATTCCCACTTGAAAATAGCAATTAACTACTTAGCAGTAAATATGGGTTTATCAAATTATTTCGACATTTTTATTGACGTCGACAATTAAAATAATAATAAATTCCAATGCCAAGAACATTTATATCCGAAGAAAACATTATTTATAAGGAAAACAAATAATTGTTCTTTCAAGTGTGTGAAGCGTGTTGTTATACACCTTCATAAATTTCACTTTGTACTTTCAAGTAATCTATTGTCCAGTATTTTACCCTTTTAAAGTGTTTTATTATAAGTAAAAAAAAAAAAAACGAAAATGTGACTTCCTTCATTATATCCAAAGAAATAACTTTTATACTAAATTTGTAATTGTGATCTTTGGTGTTGTGTTTAAAGTATTTTCATGTATCGACAATTAAAATTGAAAAATTTAAATACCAGATATGAATAAAATGTGTAATATTGTAGAGTTGCTATTTTTGATTTCATTAAATGTGATTGAATTGTCAAAATAAAATATTTTACTGTCAATTTATTTGTGAACGTATATTCAATATAGTGTTTTGAAAACTCTATCATAGAAATTTCAATAAGGAATTACATAGATCATAATGTTTTGGCTTTTAAAAGTAATCAAAATTTTGATTTAAGCTTGTTCTAAAATTAATTATTTGGGATTAGTTAATAACAAATTAAGTTTTTATTGATTGTACAAGTATTATTGATATTTTTGTCTTCCACACTTCTATAATTGCTTTGTTTTTTTTGTCATATATTAATAAAGTTCAACAAACAAAGTTTACATATTTTAAAATATTAAAATGAAAATATAAATTAAATAAATTACATACGTTATTGTGAGAAGCCAAGGGTATAGGCTTTGTCCTATGTCACTTACTGGCACACAATTTTAGATTGGCTCACTAAAATTTCGGAGGGCTTTTTATACCATTAAAAAGATCTAGATGTAAGTTCTAAATCACGTCAGGATCCTCGACACCAGTTAATCGAATTTATTACACGCGGATTAACACGCATTCACGAATCAATATGGGGAGGATGAGAATTTTTGATTCAGACATAATGAGACATTTCTTTAACATAAAATAATCGATTATTTAATAAAACAAAGGAAAAACATACAAGTTCAACCTTCAAGATATAATTATGATATCGCAGAGAGAGAGATCACATTTCGAGTTAAAATCATACTACCTCAAAATATATTCTATATTCTTCACACTTCACACAGAATCTAAATAGATTCTGTGTGAATGTTCTTATCTTTGGTTAATTCTTCGGCGGCACTTCAATAAACATTTTCTTCTACTTAGGAACTTATAAACAAACTTTGAATGAACTTCGGGAGTTAGTTATGGACATTGGCCGTGGGGAGCAGATATGGAATACGTCCTTCTCCTATGGAATTTCGTGGCATACTCCCCGAATGATACTAAAGAATCCCCTTTTTTGATGATTTTCTCCAATGAGAGAATTGTATTATTCCCACGTGTTTAGGAAGAGTGAGGGTTTACAGAGGGGTAACTGGACTGTATGTGACTCAAAATTTATGAAGATAAGGGAAAACAAAAAGAATGTCAAACTTCCGTTGAGAAGGAAGTGAATTTTACCAGTTTCCTTCGTTTTTAACTTAGAAATAATAATCCTAATTCTTAATGACAAAGTTCTAACATTTATGGATTTGACATCAATCTCCAATTAATAGCATGCTCAGAATCTCACATTATTAACCAAAATTTAAGTCGAGCCTATGCCAATCTCTTGCCTCGGGTTATCGACTAGAGACTGCCGTAGTTTGGATAACGTTTCTTTCTTCTTGAAATTAATGCATTCACCCTTTCTAAATGCTCGGAATATTTCAAAAGCTTTCATTAATCATAACTTGTTGATGTCAAACACCTTTTTTAACTAGCTTAATAAACTTACAGCTTTTACCAAATAAAATTCAATATGCACAATTTTTCATGTGAAAAACTTATGAATTTTTAAATATAACAAACTCTTACTAAAAGTAGAATTTGGACTTAAAGAAATTCTTATTGATTGTTCATTAAGAGATTTTTATTATGAATGGATGGTGAAAGAAAATTGAAAACTAAAGTGTAGACATATTTTGTTTTTTGGCTTCAAAAGTTTGTAGAAATTTGTCATGTAGTATCTGTCTTTATGTTGTCATGTCTGTTTCTAGTTTTGTAATAGTATGGTAGATGAACGATGAATTTATTCATTTCTTAAGTCTGCTTTATCTGTGTTAGGCAATGTTTACAGACCTCTGTAACCGGTGGCTGGATTGCCACCGAATTGCATTGACTGGGTTGGCGAGTGTTGTCCATTGTGTGTGAGGTAGTGAATGTGTTTGTGATGCAGTAGCTATACTTGGGCCGGTGCTGCATTTGCCACTGATGGCCAAGGAAGACTGTAGTAAATTTTTCAAATATGAGGCTCTGCCTAACCCACAAACATGGGCCTTGTTAACGTGGACAATGTCAGAGCCAGTATCATGCTATGAATGTTTGACAGCCATTTTTATTTTCTCTGCAGAAATGGGTATGATTTTTATAGGAGTGCAGAATATTTTCAGGTCCAAAAATTATTGTACACTAATGCACAAAATAAAACAATTTATAAACAAATTAACAATTCTTACTATGTAGTTTGGAAAATTCAAATTAAATCACAAATAATTGAATAGGCCTGCTGTATAATTTGTTGTGCAACACTAAACTGATAAATTAATGTAAAAATGTTTTTAATTTAATTAAATAAAAGAACACTTTAATATTAGCATGTATCATTATTATAGGATAGCATATACAATTGTAAACTTGATGTAATAAATGAGTGAACTGTTTAAAAATCAAACTGAAACATTGCTTGCTTTGTTATTAAACTTCAGATCACTATTTTTAGTGAATTTCCCCTATAAATGTTTATAGAATTAGCTGAAATCCTATTCCATTTTATTGTAAAATTTTTGCCACACTGCCATATTTTTCTACCACAAAGTTTCCTGGGACTGCTTTTATTTCTCCAAATCTTGTTCACCCAACCACACATATTCTGCACCTCTGTGCTTACTTAACCAAAGCTAAGTGTTTATAGATCATATGCTTGACATCAGAGAACAGATACTGTTCAGCAACTGTCCATTCTGGATCAGACACCACTTGTGGGTTATGTTTTGTTTCATTTTTTTCCTTAAATTTTACTAGAAACTTGTGTTGTTTCTGGCATTTCTCTATACTTCATTGCAATTATTAAGCTCTTACCTTGACAAAGTGGTGACTTGCAAGAGAGATTATTTTATTATTTTCCCCAATTGTGTCTATGTCTAGTAGAAAATAACATTATACACACCTGTAATAATTATATATATTTTAAAATGCTATTTAAGAATTTTTTTCACCAAGAAAAAACACCAAGACTACCTTTTCACATTTTTATTTAAAAAAAAAGTGAGCTTATTTTCCCTTCTACAAAAATCTATAGCCTAACTATTTCCTTACTTATTAAGTTAGAAATCTAATAATAATAATAATTCTCCCATGGTCACCACCTGGTCATGGTGGTGATCATGAAGCTAAGAGTGACCATACCCACATTCTGTGCAGATAGATCTGGTTACTACCATGATAAATGAGTTTGATACCGGCTCGGACGTCACCTGGGTTAACAAGTCTGCATGCGTGGGTTAGGCAGAGGCTAATATTTGAAAAATATGCCACAGTCTCCTTTGGTTACCAGGAGTAAAAGCAGCACCAGCCCAAGCATGGCTACTGCAATGTCCTCAACAGATGTGAGGAATCAACCTAGCCTTGGTGTTTCTGTGGCAATGCATCCACAGACCACAAAGGCTGGAAAACCACGCCAATGGATGAAATGGACATCAGAAATGAACGAGTTTATCATCCGTACTTGCCACGCAATTACAAAATACAAAACTCAAAACAAACATGACAGCATACAGACAACTACTACACCATAGTTTCACGCAACATTATCCTCACTTCACTGTCAACGAACAAAGGGTTGTTGATCAAAAAAGAACAATTATATGCAACAACCTTATCCCACAAACAACACTCGAACTTATCAAACAACAGATTCCTTATCAAATACATCAACAGACAGAAACATTTAACTTTAATGAAGATTACGTAACCTGTCAGGATAATCCAGCAACAAGCACTGATTACAGCACATGTACAACAACTACCATTAATGATACTACACACACTTCCTCATCCACCACTGATAACATAGACATATATGTGAGAGCATATTAACTAAATCTATTTCAGAAAACACTCACTAAATATACAGGTACAGATCCTAGACAAAGACAACGAATACCAAAAATCATGTCAAAGGAAGTAGAAAAAACACTAAATTATATAAACACTCATCTACTACCACACTACATTCATTCAATTTCTACACTCTCAGATATCCATGCATTAGTTTATGCTGGGGCAGTCACAGTAGTGACACAACATCGACTGAAAATACAATCGCAGACAGATACACACAAAACACAATTCTATCACAAGCCTGCCTGGCAGAGAATAGAAGCACAAATAAATGACATTAGACAGCAATTAAGCAGGCTGACACAATACACTAAAAACAACATAACACCCAAATTAAAGAAACAACACAAAAAACATTTTCAAGAAAATCAAAACACACACAAAACATGAACATCACAACACACAAATTACAGAATACGTCGATACACTAAAACAGAAACTTGCAGCCAAAGCACATAGACTCAAACGACACAAAACATGTTCCTTACGAAAACAACAAAATAAATTATTTACAAACAATGAAAAAAACTTTTACAGACAAATTGGTAACAAAACAAACACTGATACACAGAACAACTCACAACGTATTGGTCTTCTCTTTGGTCCAGTGCTGTCACATCATGCCATAAACCATACAACACATCACTTCTGGTTGCAAGCTCTTGGCACAGACAGATTATTTACATAGACATAATCAAGTAGCAAATATAATACACCGAGAGCTTGCAAAGAAACACAAATTATTAGACAACCACAAACCATACTACAGATACATTCTAGAGACAGTATTAGAAAACAACACGCACAAAATGTACTACGACAGAGCCATAATCACAGATAAAACAATTTACAACAACAGACCAGACATCACACTCCTTGACAAATGCAATAAAATCACATACATTATAGACATATCCATTCTAAACACTCACAATATACAAAACACAGCTCTGAAAAATTCAACAAGTACACAGAACTCACTCAGGAAATAAGGCATCTGTAGGGTGCTTATTGTACCTGTCATTCTCTCCTCCACAGGTGTCATACCACA